ATTCATCAAGCTAGTTTCAGACCATTTAACATCGCCTTTAACGCATATCTTAAACACGTGCATTTCGAAACTAGACTTCCCAACTCTTTGGAAGATTGCACGCATTAGTTCATTCCGAAGGTGGGCGAACCCCAGGGAAAAGACGATTTTCGCCCTGTTTTTATTTTGCCTGTGTTATCAAAGGTTTATGATCTTGACGACAAATGGTGGATTTTCTCACGGAAACTGTTGCGCTTCAGCCAAATTTAAGTGCATACCGCAAAAGCCACTCAACTGCAACTACTTTGCTTGCAATAAGAGATGATATCCTCAAGGCAATGAACAGAGGTGAGGTCACCATTGGAATTATGGAAGACTTTTCTAAAGCTTTTGATACAGTTGTGTATGAGACATTTCTGTGCAAATTGCATAAGCTAGGGTTTTCCAAGTCCTCTCTACATTAGATTGTGAGTTATTTGACTGATCGAACGCAGTACGTCCAAATCGATGATCTCTTGTCGGAGCGCATAACTGTGTCTTTTGGGGTACCTCAAGGATTCATTTTGCGTCCCCTCTTATTCAAACTTTATGTCAACGACTTGACAGACGTTCTCCCAACCGAAGGAAATTCCCATCAAATATGCGAACGATATAACGATTTGTAGTCACTCTAAACCATCTGAGCCTCAGAGTTGTCAGGCGGAGATGCAGGCTGCGCTGGACAAGCTTTCTACCTGGTCATCCCGATGTAACTTGGCCCTCCATCCTAAAAAGACTAAAGTAATGCTTCTTTCAACTCCCCAGATGTCAAGAACACATGGGCTAGACGGACACTCCATCCATCTCTAATGGAAAGGGTCTCGAGCGAGTTTCAACTTTCCGCCTACTTGGTACGGAAGTGCACGAAAACGTCAACTGGAAAAGAGAGAGAAACTCCAAGATCTCAAGCTGTTACGGAACTTTGTCTGTACTGAAGAAGTTGAAATACCGTGCCCCCTATAATGCCAGAAAACACTTGGCAGGGTGTCTTATTTTGTCAAAGATCGATTATAATGACATTGTCAGTGATACTATAGCAGATTACCTTGTTAAGAGACTTCAGCGAGTACAGTTAGCGGCTGCTAAGCTGTCTACCTGGTCATCCAGATGTAACTTGACGCTCAACCCTAAAAGGACTAAAGTATGATGCTTCTTTCAACTCCCCAGATGGCACGAATTCATGGACTAGACGGACACTCCATCAATCTCTGCGCAAATGGAAAGGGTCTCGAGCGAGTTTCAACGTTCCGGTTAGCGGCTGCTAGTTTTGTTTTAGGACGCTACGCAACTAAGCTTGATTTACTTTATTAAATACGTTCATATACTCCCGTAGTACCCTCGAAAACCATACCCGATTCGAGACAAAATGGGCAAAGTCTATACCCATTTTCAGACCAAAAATAGCGCAAAAACCATAGTCTTTGGAGCGGCACACACCTATATGGCTTATATAAGGGAGTACCCTCCCGCGGATAACTGTGGGCCCATGTGGGTTAAAGTGGATAAGGTGACTCCGCTGTTTTTTATTAAAAAATTAATAAGGGCTGCAGAGTTGCTAGCCAGGAAATGCGGTGCTCTTCCGATTAAATTGTATTTATTCGCGAGAGCGCTTTTTAATTTTTTTTTTTCGAGGGCGGCGCTCTTTCAAGCAACTAAGGTTTTCATTTCATTTGAGGACCTTATTACTCTTGTGGTTCATCTGCATTACATTTGAAAACTTTTACATTTGCTGTCAGTTATCACATTTCTGGCTTCAACGGCCTAACTATCCTTTCTACTGCGTTTGGAGCGGATACATAATTCTTTTTTAGGCCGCACCACCCGATTCAAACAACCTTGGCTGCATTCGGCTGGTGCTAATTTTGTAACCGTGCGTCTGTCGAGGTATATCAATAGTCCAGTTTCGAGTTCGCTATGACCGCTGAATTAAAGAAGTGAAGACGCATTTTTTACAGGCTTAGCCTCAATCTGAAGTAATATATTCACAAATTCCAACGAGAAAAAGACCTATTTATTACTCTGTCTATTGTGCATATTCAAATTTTAAACACTTAGTAATACTTGCCGGAATTTCTGAATATTTTACTTTACGTTGAGGCTAACCCTGTATAAATGTGCCATTAATGTTTGTATTCAGCGGTAATTTTTAATTCGAAACTGGACTATTGTTCATTAAATTTTTCTTTGTTGTAAGGTCGACATTGCTCCATACCAAATGTCAGTTTTGTCCGCGACGTGCGAAAGATTGTCATATTCTTGTTTATACTTATTCTTTTTATGTCTCTAAATCCAATCGTTTATTGCATCTGATTGAATGTGAGGACGGTCACTTACTAAAACATGCAGAGAAAACAAATCTTGCTTGATTTCATGCAGTGCCTCAAAAATATATCATTATATAAATATCTATTTACTAGGAAACGTGAAAACAAAGCCTATTTCCTGAATGTGGAGTCTAAACTAATTCCTGTGTACTGTCACATGGAAGCTGCTGAGCTTGGAGCATGCGGAGGAGGTGGATGGACGCTCGTCATGAAGACCGATGGCAAAAAGGTAGCAGCAGCAGCGATGCAACAATTTTTGCCCCCGCAGGGATTTCGCCCAGAAGGCGAAATCCCGAGGAGGCACTCTAGTAACTCGCGCGTATATTAAGGAAAGTACTTACAGTTGGAATATACAGTCAGCATGCCAGAAAAAATCTCGACTTGCTTGAACAGGGGCCGCGAGGAATCGGTGGGTAATGATGACGTTTCTATTGTTTGCGCCCGCAAGTACGAAATGGTTAGGATGACGTAAAGACAGAAAATTGCGAGGGGACCGGTTAGGTAGATTTTGTGACATTTATCGTGCAGTCATACTTCGATACTCTTTTACGTTACGTGTTATCAGTGACATTCTGTGGAGCAGTTGTTTTGAAAGTTATGGACCAAAAGGCACTCGTTAGGCGCAGATGAAGTTCTAAGGTGCGTATAACTGTGTATATATATATGGAGAGTTTGCCAGACACGAGTTCACAATTTTTTGATTGGAAACCTTGCCAGACACTCTTTCTCTCTCTTTGACCGAAGTTAAGACTCAGCCCCAAACAAGCAAGACGAGTAAACAACGGCTAGCTTATCACTAGCAGAACTATGGACGATTACAGAAATTCGCCGACAATCAAATTCTGTGCTGACTTATTCCCTACTCACAGATCATGTCCTTCCGCTATAAAATTTAAAATAAGACTAGAATGCGCGAGCGTGAATTAATCAAACGTCCTTCTCATTTCTAAGGCTTACTTTCCGGCAAATAAAATGAACTGATAAAAAGTGAAAGAGAAATAGCGAAAAATTCAACTTCTAATTAAATTTTTTCTTATGGTTTAGAATAAACTATTCTCGAAACTGAGAATGTTTTGATCAAAGCTGTGTACATCGAACAGTGAAACCGTGCATGGAACCTTGCGTTTCCTGTATTTATCTCACATATTGTATTGAATATGTGTGAAAATCGGTATATATTATATTGATCAAAGCTGTGTACATCGAACAGTGAAACCGTGCATGGAACCTTGCGTTTCCTGTATTTATCTCACATATTGTATTGAATATGTGTGAAAATCGGTATGTTTCAAAGAGCTACACAACGAGCAAGAATACTATTGACCAACAATATACAGAACGGGGGTAGCTGTAGTGTCAACTATTACCAGTAGTATTCATTGATAATATATTGCCCGCGTTCATGATTGGCTCCAAATCCCTCGACTAATTCTTCATAACCTTCAGCCGTTTACCATTTTTGGAAGATGTAGGACTGAATATACATGATCGATTCTATGGTATATTGCCTATTATTAAAAACTGACTCATTGGATAATGCAAGTGTTCTGATTGGCTTATGAGCGTCTGCTCAAAATTAAAAACAAGCTGAAAATCGGTTGTTTTTACAAATAAAGTTGGGAAGAATTCTCGATACTGTTTTGTGGGCGTTTTTGATAAAACAATGATTCTACTCGCCCTTGTTGGATATGAGATGATTACAGCCATCTCGGCGCTACGCGCAATGTTGACTAATCTAAATGACCCATCGATCAACCTCGAGCAGTTTCCTTTAAACTATTTTTTGCTAAAATTGCGACCGAGAATTGCTAGCAAATCAGGTTTGGGACAGATTGCAATCCAGGACATAAGTGAACAGCGGAGCTGGTTTTAGGAAAGTAACTAAACAGCTTTTAAACAATTAGCTGAAAGGAAGCGAACATACCGTCAGCTTTTGGCTGGGGGTACAGGTATTGAAATATCAATTTGGAAATTGCCAATCCATACTGGAACGCACGGTATGGGAGTCTGTTGTGTAAACCATTCTGGCTTATGTTGAAAATTAGCTGTTAGGTAAATTTTAAGCTTTGGTATAAATGGGGCAAAGGGCGTGATTTCAGTCCAGTGCAATCCTTGGGGCAAGTTTTTTTAATAGCGCCCGAACAAAACGTTTATTTTCTGACAGGTTGATAGTTTCAGATGAATTGTTAGTTTTACAATGAAGGAGCAGAATTTTTGTACAGATATTGATTTTATTTAATTTTTACCCTTTTTGGCATATTTCCTACCATAATAATGTTGCGCAAAAGTGGGTGATCCAAGATAGCCCGTGAGGAGAATCTTGTGTGCCGCTCGCAAAAATGTTACCGTGTAGGTTTCTTACAAGAATAGGGCTTTACTGACAAATTATGAGGCTAATTTGTCTCGATTTTGGGTGAGTTCCTTTTTAATTGCGTTTTTATGAACCGAGACCGAGTTGAGGTCCATAAAATCGCGAAAAAGAACCAGCCCCGTATCCATTCCTCTTGACCGAAGATTTGGTAAATCAAGGATTTTCATGGCCAAAAAGGAAATTGTTTCTCGCACAGAACACAGGATTCGTTTCATCTTGACGGATCGTAAAAGGGCCAGTCATATCAGTAATGTAGCCTCTTCACACTGGCTCACTAGTACACCTAGATGGCGACCATTGACCATTATCACAGCGAAATGTTTAGAGGAATCTCGCCATGTCACGTCATTTACCTGGCTGGGGTATTTATTACATTATTTTAATTCTTACCAGGCGTTTGATTGTCTTAGCCTAGATATTCTCAAAACTACTTGGGGACGAGGAGGAGTTGACCCCCAGGGCCCAGAGGGCCAAACTGGATAGTCTTACAAACTTTTGGAGCAGAATGTGACTGCTGTGATGTCAGGTGAAAACGGTTTGTTAATTGACGATATATCATTCTTTATCTGTTTAGAATACCTTTCATTACGATTCAAAATTGTGGACCAACAAGACGGACCATAATCCCTCTGCGGGAAAGACCCTGCTCGATGATCAAGAAACAAAATTACCCACCTACTGGAGCACACCATTCACTAAGATCTGCCTCGCTATGAAGATCGGCCATCAAGTTAATTCGATCGTCATCAACAAACAAGCCAACTCCTTACACTCCCTGATCGCTGACGGAAAATACCGTTTGACGTCACTGGGTCGTGACACCTGGAAGAAGCTGATTGGCCAACAGGCATCGCTGCAGAGAAATTGTAACCGGGAAGGGTTCAATTCTCGTGGGTCGCCTGATCGCAGCAAAGCAAGAATAGGTATCCTAAGTAACGAACAAGACGACTGTTTTTCCCCTAACTCCAGCATTGGGTTTGGTATTGGTGGTTTGGATTATATTGACAACACCTGTGGAAACGCGGCCTTCCATCAACCAGACAATGGTGACAAAAACTTTAAAGCGATGGGCTACATCCTGGTGCAATGAGTATACAAATGCAACGTTAAAAGTATTGTTCGACTTCATAGTCAATGATCAGTGTCCTTTACAATGCTAAATAGAAATTGTAGGTTAAGTGAAGGCTTAATTCTTGCATGAACAAATATTTGTGGAAATTAAATTGAATAAACGCATTGCTCAAAACAAAACCTTTTGTTCTGTCCCCCCCCCGGGGGATACTTCTGGGAATTCTTAGTGGGGTGTGGCGCCCGGTTCCCCAAATCCTGACGCGACCAAAAAATGTCATTTTCCAAACCCATTTTCAGACCTAGCCTTTAGGCAGAAATTACGTTAGTATTACTTAGATTAGAGCGCAAACAAAAAAATTCCTCATATTCCAGTTTCGAATTCGCATATTTCTCTTTCTTTCTTACTCATTTGGAATTGAAATGATAAATACGTTCATATTTTCCCGTAGTTCCCTCAAAAACCATACCCGATTCCAGACCAAAATGGGCAAAGTGTTTGCCCGTTTTCAGACCAAAACGGCGCAAAAACCGTACCCGATGGGGCGGCAAATACCTATATAGCTTATATAAGGGAGTACCCCCCCGGGTGTTTCCTCTGTCTCAATCGTTCATTTATATTTTTTCCATGATAGGTCTCTCTCCAGGGAACGGTCCTAGCATCCCCACTACCCCCTTCGCCTAACAGGGCTAGCGCCAAAAATTACACACGCACACACACTAGATGACACAAACCCGACACTTTCTGGCACAACACAGCTTGAAAAAAAGCACTTAATCGAAACAGCGCCACCCGAACAACCTTGGCATCTTTTAAATCGAAAAACAATAAACGCCGCGACGCTCTTTCGAAAAATTCAATGTTTCACTGCATTTAATCGAAAGGGCACCGACCTCAAGTAAGAATCGCACAGGAGAAGAAGAAAAATAAATAAACGCCTCGGCGCTCTTTCGAATGAACATATTTTTCTCCCGCATTCAACCCATTCAAGCGAGAGTGTCGCATTTTCCAGCAATATAGTAGCGCTTATTAATTTTTGGTAATCAGACCTTTTAAGGTGATTCCTTAGTAAAAGAACCTAACATAGATTGTAGATGAAACTTGGTACACTGATGTTACAAGTCCAAAAGATGATAAAAAAGTCATAAAAAGTGGGGGTCACCGTGCTTGTTTTGACGTCACAATGCTGACAAATACAGCTATTTAGGACCTTTCGACAAAAACCGCGCGCAGCCCAAAACTAGAAGACAAAAAGAAGACATTTTTTCGATGATGCATGCGGTATCGCACAGAATTTGACTTTAATGTATTGTTTATCCACTTACGTACCAGAAAAATGCCTTTAAATGCCCTTGTTTTTACTTTACGCTCCAAAGTAGAATTTAATTGGACACGCGCTATTCGACTCGTGATAGCTCAATCCGTACAATTTAGTAAAATTGCCAAAAAACTGAACATACATTTGGGCCAATTTTTTTCTCATCCAAAGGGAGCACTGTCCTTATTAAAATCATGAAATAAAAAATGGGGGTCACCGTACTCGTTTTTGTGGTAGAGCTGCAGAAAGTGCGCACCAAATGCATCTTCTCCCTTTTTTGAGAGAGGACTTGGGCGAGTTTTAAAATCGAATGTTCGTGAAAGGGGGAAGAAAGTATTAAAAACTCCCTCCTTACAGAATTTGCATCGATATATCACATTTAGGACCCAATGTGTTAAAGAAAGCGTTTAAATGAAAATCAAAGTGGGTAAGCACAAGTTAAACATGGATCACTATCGAGGTTCTCCGTGAGGAAGTCGAACTCAGCAACACGCGTACTGCTTACGTTATTCATATTCCTCATACATTGAGTCTCACCTCGGCAAGAAACAACCGCAAGCAAAACTTACAATAGCGTTTCTCTTCAGTCAATCGGCCATCTTGTTATGCACAGTAAGAGATGCGCACATCAAAACCAGGGAATCACCTTAATATGTTGATTACCATTGCTGATGTAAGCTTGAAGCATATTGATATTATGTTTAAAACCCGTCTTCAGAAGAAATGAAAGTTCAAACCAAAACAAGGTTTGAACTTTCACTGATTTCTTCTTGGTAGTATGCTATTTAAATAAGTATGATGAAAGTGATGATAAAGTATCTCCCTAAACAACTTTACATTTTATTTATCGTAGAGTACGTACGTGATACTCCCATTAACTGAGTTTGCAAGGCTGCGTATTAAACTTCAGTCAGTTAAGTGACCTCTTAAGTTCGCGCAAACCAAATTGTAAAAAAATGGGATGGAAATTTCGAAAGAGCGCTGCAGTGCTTATTGATTTTGCTACTTAAAGATGCCAAGGTGATTTGAGGGTGGGCTTTTTCGATTAAATGTAATGCAACAACAACATAAGCTTTATTTGCATTACTATATATTTACAGTATTGCAAAAGCTTTAAGATAAAGTTACAATTTACACTAATGATAATACAATGTAATAATGATTAAAATGGCCATTCAAGTGTCATCAGTATGATTTAATAACAAATTATTAATACGTAAATCATTACATAATGAAATATATTTTAACAAATGTGAATTTACAGAAAAATTCTGTGATTTCACCAATTTAATTATTAATACTGTGCAAGATAGCTGATTAAAATCAACAAAATTATGTTGGATTTGATTGTAGAATTTTTCCCTTGGGATGTTATATTTTGGACAATGCAAGAGAAAATGAAATTCTAAGTCTGTCCTTTTAATTGGTTGAATTTCTGGTTAAGTCTAGATAACTTAAAATTTTATAATCATGTTTAAATATGCCGTAAAATTGTAGTTTCTTAGAATGATTGTATGTTGCCAATATGTTATATTTTTTGTTTTATTTTGTTTATATAATGTTTGATCTTACCTTCACTTAAATCATTAGGATGAAAATCGGGCAGGTTAAAATATTCAGATAGTTTGATAAGATTATGGTAAAAGCTATTTTTACCACTATAATGAAGTTCTAGCTAGGTACGAAAGGCTTGTTTAACAATAGTATATCCTCGTTTTCACGCAGAAGATACAATATGTGATAAAGGATGTTTTTGTAGATATTAATAATTAATGGCAATCGTCCTAATTCACTTCTACTTGCAACATTGACGCTTTATTGCTTATTTCTCTTTGAGACGCGGGATCGCACGTCCATTGACTCGACGACTATGCTATGTTGATGAGCCCCAGTAAGGGCGAAATCGAAACAGCTGTACATGGCTGCCACTGCCCGGGTGATATAGTTGTGCGCATACGTGAGGTACTGGCCCTACCGCGGAGTTGATAAGTGTGCCTCAGTCTTGAAATTGGTATTGAAATCGATTTTGGTTCGAGTTAGCGCGAGATTCGAGTTAGCGAGGGTTGGAGTTATCGAGAGTCGACTGTATCAGCGGGAGAGTAAAATAATAAAGTTTTCTGGGGGTGTATAAATTTTGAGAATACTCGCGAGAAAAACCTCAAGATGAATTTTGTCCTCGTCCTCAAATCTAAAGCTCTCTAACAACATTATTCATGACTCACCATGCACACGACATCTTCTAATGCACTGACCAATATCAACTCTTGTTTCGTACTTAGTTCCTCTGAAGTGCTCATGTTCAGCGGACACACGCCTGCAGCCTCTTTCACGAGGCGCGCACGTGCAATTCATAGCGCTAATAAAGTCTTGCAGACCATTTAAATTCCTGATTGTTGTCACCTCAGATGGGGAAGCGATGCAGAGGTTTGTGCCTAGGCAGATCTGTTTTAGGGAAAAAGTGATGGGTGGGACAAGGTGAGTTTTTTTTTTTCATCATAACAACAACAACAGCTTCATTTGTACCGAACGCATTTTTTACAACTGATTACCAGGAGCTGGCCCCTGACAGAAGTAATACTAACAATAATAATGATGATGACTCAAATCAATTACAAAGTGAATATCTTCCACCTTCCAGCATTTATTCCACTTTCGGGCCCGTCCACAAGTATCCGGATATTTTTTTAAAAGGAGACTCTATCTCCCTTTTACCGCTAAAACGTCCGTCCGCACGTAAACGGCGTTTTTGACACCATGAAAAGCAGGTTTTCGAAAACGGTCCCTAGAGTAGAGGTTTCATTTGAAAACGCCGGTTATCGTTTACATTGGACGGTCAAAACCCGGCAAACGCTTTCGAATACAATAATGTCAAACATCATATACTCCTAACCTTTACGCATGCTCTGTAAGGAATATTATTGTATTTCATCGTCGGGAGAAAACGATTTAAATGCACTTCATGTGGACGCGTATTTTTTGGAAAACCGATAAACTTATCTCCGTTTTCAAAAATATCTGGATACGTATGGATATTTTAATACTAAAGACGGCAGGCACTTTTCCTCTTTCTTATTGATTTAAGGCTCTTGGTAGCTTTTAAAGCTCCTCCAATTTTCGACGCAAACTACCACGAAAATCATGCGAAGCTATCGTGAAACTATAAGACAAAAGAAGCAAGGCTGATTTTACAGTCAGGAATATATATATTCTTACCAATATTTCGGATGGAACGGCCTTCCTTCTTCAGGGTCTTCATATAATGAAGAGGTTAACAATTTGACGTTACAATTTGAAAATTAAAGAATAGCGTAGAAAAGTGAACGTTGAAAACAAAAACCGTCGAAGTAGTGATTGGAAAGAAATTTGAAATGTAAAAATAAGAAATGTAAGAATTGATTGGATGTAAGAACTGATTGGTGCCAGAAAACTTGTGTTTTTCTGGCACCAATCAGAAGCCAGAGCGGCGGCGACCGTTTGGAACTGGTCGGGTAAGACATTGTCCCCAGGGGCTCTTCTCGCCGTTCTTTACTTTTCTTCGTTCCATATATATTTTTCCGCCCGTTTAGACTTTCCCTCGTCCCCAATATCTGCCCCTGGGTCTCCGAGGATGTGGGCTTGCTAAACTGTCAAATAGACGTCGACAGGCCTCCTTATGGTGTCGTGACGTCATTACTAGTACCTGCCATGGAGGCTTTTATGTTCA